GAGGGGCAGTGGTCACCTTGCTGGGCTGTAAGGGGGCGTCTGGCCAGGGTGCAGTGGGATGTGATGGGCTTGGCATGGATGCCGCCTGTTCTGTGCTCCCATGTCTTGGCCAGGGCTCCAACATGTTGGCAGCCTCCTGCACAGCCCAGTCTCCTGCCAGCAGGCTGCTTTGCCTGGGAGGCAGGGCCATGGAATACAGCTGCTCTATTCAGGTTCAGGCCTTCAGGTCTGCTGGGTGGCTTTGAGCTCCTCTGTCCAGAGACCCTTCAGACCCTTTCCTCACTGCAGAGCCCAGGGCACAGCAGGATTCCTTCCCTCACAAGAGGTAGCTGTCCCAGCCTTCCTGTATGTGTCTCTGTCCGGTACAGACCTACAAACAGCAAGGCAATGCTGTGCTGAAGCTGGGGGATACGGTGATCCCCTACCATGAGGATTTCAAGATGTACATCACCACCAACCTGTCCAACCCTCACTACAGCCCCGAGGTCTCCACGAAGCTCACCCTCATCAACTTCACCCTGTCACCCAGGTACCTGCTCACCCCATTACCTGCCCATGCTGCTCAGCCTTATTCCTTACAGTCCTTAAACTGTTGAGCCCGTTGCCCCCACCCTCACCTCCATGGCTTTTGTTGTAGTGGCTTGGAAGACCAACTGTTGGGAGAAGTGGTGGCTGCAGAGCGACCTGACTTAGAAGAAGCTAGAAACCAGCTAACTGTTAGCAATGCCAAGATGCATCAGGAGCTGAAGGATATAGAAGACCAGATTCTGTATCAGCTCAGCACTTCTGAAGGAAACCCTGTAGATGACTTAGAGCTCATCAAAGTGCTGAAGGCATCCAAGCTCAAGGCAGGAGAGATTCAGGTCAGAGGTGGAGGTGCTCTCCCCTTGCAGCTGTGCATCCCCTGCCAGCATTGCACTAACCATGACGTCCTTTCTGTCCTCCAGGCCAAAGTAATGGTGGCAGAGCAGACAGAGAAGGACATCAACATTACTCGCCTGCAGTATGTGCCCGTGGCTGTCCGCTCACAGATCCTCTACTTCTGTGTCTCAGACTTGTCCAATGTGGACCCAATGTACCAGTACTCACTTGAGTGGTTCCTCAACATCTTCCTAATGGGGATCAGTAACTCCGAGAGAGCAGGTGCCTGCCCAGACCAGCCCCCTCCTATCTTCCTCACCCCACATTCCTGGTTTGGCAGCAGCAGAATCTAGGACACCTGCAGAGTCAAGGCAAATGTGGCTGCTTGCATTGGCTCTCAGCATGGTCCAGAGCTGTCCCTAGTGTCCACACAGCAAGGGAAGATGTGGTTGCAGCCTGCCCTCCGTTCTCTTCCCCAGTACTCCTCTGCTGCCCTGTCTGACCAGGCAGAAGGGATGTTAGTGCCAGGGCACAGCCAAGGTACACGTCATCCAGGTAATGGTGTGGTTCTGCTTGTTACAGAGCCACCTCCACACACAGGTCCTGGCTGCTGCTGCCAGGCTGGGGACAACTTTCCCCACCCAGTAGCGTGTGTTAGCCAGGGTGGTAGTGGCTGGGCCCATGTAGGCTACCGTAGAGCAGTGTGGACTTCCAGTGGTGAGTCTCACAGCCTTGTGCTTTCACAGGGATTTCTATGCCATTGAGAGCAGCATCTGTGCTTCCTGGGCAGGACGCAGGTGTCCCCCCATGACCAGGAACTAAGACCACCCTCCACATCACCCGTAGCACCTACCACCCTTGTCTGGTTGTTGCCTTTTTTACAGACACTCTGAAGGACCGGATCGTGAACATCAACAACTACATCACCTTCAGTCTCTACAGCAATGTGTGCCGTAGCCTCTTTGAGAAGCACAAGCTCATGTTTGCCTTCCTGGTTTGTGTCCGGATTCTGATGAATGATGGGAAGATCGATATGGTGAGCAAGTCACCTTGGTTCTTTGATGGGATCCCATCAGGGCAACTCAAGCCCAGCCTGTTCAGCTCCCTAGAATAGCATGCTGTCCTGGAAAAGGAGCCTTCTTCCCTGGGGCTGGGGTCAGGCTTGGCAAGCAGGTGGGCAAACCTGGGGCCTCTCTTCACTCAGATCTCAAACCTTTCCCTGTATCTATATGGAGAGCTGCCTAGCCTGAGTCACCTGCAGCTTTTGCCAGTTTGCTGCCAGACTGCTGCAAAGGTTAGCAAGTTCAGAGGGAGCAGGCAGGGATTAGAAGACAGAGAAAAGCTAGTGGCAGCTGAACAGTGATCTTGATCTCACCAGACCCTCCAGTTCACTTACTCCTTAACACACACACCTGGCAGGAGAGGCAGCCAGAAAGTTACTACAGGATTTTAGTTGGATATGGCAACAAACCCACGTGCCTCAGGCCCAGGCAAGTAGGCTGTAATCCATGACGACGTCCTATCCTGTTCGCAGGATGAGTGGCAGTACCTGCTGTCAGGAGGGACCATAAAGGAGTTGAGGGAGAACCCAGCTCCATCCTGGCTGTACGAGAGAGCATGGGGAGACATCCTGGCCTTGAGCAGCCTGAAGAACTTCTCCGGCTTTGCCAATGATTTTGCAGCCAACCTTGTAGCGTTCAGGGCCATTTTTGACAGCCCCAAACCTCACAGGTAAGTTTCCCCTGCTTTGTCAGCTTAGCTGTCCTGCACCCAGCAGGTAATGGCGTCCCTGGGAGGAGCAAGAGGAGCCAATACAGCCACATTGCTGTCTCTGCTCCCAGTGCAGTGCCACACAAGGGAGAGGATGAGGCATTGCCTTGTCTCCTCAAGAGTGGCCCTTCCCCGTGCATGTTTCTTGCCCAAGTCAGAGCCACACAATGCCTTAACCCAGTTGTATTTGGTGCTTCCCGCAGTGGAAACAGCTCTGGTTTGCCTGCTGATGGTTTCAAAGCTGCAGACAACCACCTCAGCCAAGTAACTGAAAAGTCCTTGTCTCTTCTGAAACCCCAATGGCTGCCTGCAGGCAACTTGGGTGCTTCTGGGGGAGCTGCAGGTTCTGGCACATCACCCCCCCAAAATGCACCCAATTGCTTTGCAGAGAGCCCCTGCCTGGGAAGTGGGAAGCCGAGCTTGATGCCTTCCAGAAGCTGCTCGTTCTGCGGTGTCTGCGGGGAGATAAGATGACCAACGCCATGCAGGACTTTGTGGCACTGAACCTGGATCAGCACTTCATTGAGCCGCAGGTAACCAGCCAAAAGGAAGCACTGGTGGGGCCAGCAGCAGAGCAGGAGGCCTCGAGCTTCCTAGAAATGGGCTGTCAGCATTTTCCACTTGCAATGAGGGTGCTGGTGCCTCTCTGCAGCCAGTGTTCCCACAGCTGGGGAAACACTTACGGCTTAGATGAGGGATATCCTACCTAATGTCCACCAGTTGAATCACACGGGGAGGGAGCAGATAGTGCAGGCATACAAGGGAAGAGTTCGAATGACAAATAGGAAAGTGGTTACTGCCCTCATCCTAATGCTGCTGGAGAGCTGCACTAGGCCCTTCTTGAGCATGTTTCTGCCTTTGGCACTCAAAAGCACACCAGTGCCTTGGAGAGGAGCTGGAGGCCAGACAGGGTGAGGAGGTGCTGCCACTATGGCCCCTCTGCTCTGACCAACTTTCTGTGTTGCAGACCACTGACCTCTCAGTCATCTTCAGGGAGTCCACTGCCACCACCCCCTTGGTGTTTGTGCTGTCCCCAGGCACTGACCCCGCTGCCAGCCTCTACAAGTTTGCTGAAGAAATGAAGTTCTCCCAAAAGCTCTTTGCCATTTCTCTGGGCCAAGGCCAGGTAAACTGCCGGTTCCCACCTGGGGCAGCACTTTCCTGCTGGCACTCCCAGCAATCTCACCTAGCTCCAAGTAGGTCAAACACCCTTGCAGCACAGTGAAAACACCCTCCTGCCCCAGGACACTTACTTACCAGCCTTCTGCTAGCTGGAGGAGCCACTCCACTGCAGCAGTTCCCCCTATACTATAACTTCTAACTAGCCCTCTAATTTCGTGAATCCATTCCCAGTTCTTCCATTCCCTCCACCCTCCCACACAGGCTTGCAAAAGCTGTAAAAGGGCCTTTGCTGCACCATCAGACAGCAAAGATCCAGTTGAGCCATGGGGACAAAGCCAGGCTGTAACTCTGGAAAGTTGTCCTTCCACCCAGCAGCTGTCTCCCTGTCCAGCTCAGCAGGGCACAACCCGCAATGGACCAGGGTCTCTGAGCTCTTTTCACCTGCCTCCTCAGGGCCCCCGTGCTGAAGCCATGATGCACAGTGCTATGGAGCAGGGCAACTGGGTCTTCTTCCAGAACTGCCACCTGGCCCCCAGCTGGATGCCTTCACTGGAGAGACTCGTCGAGGGCATTGACCGCAGCAAGGTGAGCTGTTTTACTGAGCAGACTGCCCACTCTGAGGATAACAGGCAGGAGGCTGGAGCCCTGGGAGGAGCGCATATCTAGTTCAATCCCATCCGCATGTTCCCCATAAAACCAGAGGGTCAGTGCAGGAGCAGCTGCAGTGGCTGTGCCTGCACACTCTGAGCACTTGCTGCCTTCTGGATTTCCAGGTGCATCAGGACTTTCGCCTCTGGCTCACCAGTCTACCGAGCAACCACTTCCCTGTGTCCATCCTCCAGAATGGCTCCAAGATGACCATCGAGCCCCCCCATGGGGTCAGGGCCAACCTGCTCAAGTCCTACATCAGTTTCAGTGATGAATTCTTGAATTCTTGCCCCAAGGTAAGGCACAGGTCGTGCTTTGGTTTGCAGTCCCCAGTCCATGCCTGCTCCAATGTGTGCTCTCCACCTGGATGTTGCTCCTCTCCAGGCACAGATTTCCTCTCCACTAGAGCTCTCATGTGCTAAAGGCTGGTGATATTTCTCATAAGTCCACATCTACTCTGTGATGAGCCAATAAGTTTCACTTTGAGAAACAGAAGCAACAGGATTGCAGAAGCCTGTGTAAGACACTTGTGACTCTCTAAGCCAGGGAGTGGTCCACAGCCTTCCCCAGCACAGCAGCCTGACTGAGGTTTCCAGGGTCCAGTTGGCATTGCTGAATTAGGACATCTCCTCTGCCGGGTCCCAGCAGGAACCGACTCCGTCCAAGGATGCCTCCTCCCAAGCTGAGCACCTCTTATCCCTGCTCCCCTGCCTACAGGTCACAGAGTTTAAATCCTTGTTGCTGTCACTTTGCTTCTTCCATGGCAACATGCTGGAGAGGAGAAAGTTTGGACCTCTGGGGTTCAACATCCCCTATGAGTTCACAGATGGAGACCTCCACATCTGCATCAGCCAGCTACAAATGTTCCTGAGTGAATACACAGACATCCCATACAAGGTAAGTGTGTGAGCTGGCCGCTCCTGTGGAGGGAACAGGCTCCTGATGCTCGTGCAGGTCAGAAAGCCATAGTGTGGTCCCTCACAGGTTCTGAAGTACACAGCTGGGGAGATCAACTACGGCGGCCGTGTGTCTGACGACTGGGACAGGCGCTGCATTGTGAGTGTTTTGGAAGATTTCTACAGGCCTGAGGTTTTAATTCCTGAGTTTGCCTATTCCCAATCGGGGATCTACAAGCAGATCAGTCCCTCTTCTGACCTCAACGTAAGTACTCAAGTAACAAATGGCAGTTCATAGATCCAGTGGGTTCATCATAGTGCAAAGGGGATCTACTCCCTGAAACCCACTGCATTTCCAGTTCCCTGGGGGAACACAAGTCTGTAAGAACCTGGGGATCTTCAGCTGCTTTCAGGAAACTGCATGTTCGAAGCAACAGGAGGAAAATCTTGTCCCTGTGCACAGGAGGTGGTAGCAGCTATCACCAGAGTTCAACAACTGAAAGCTTTTGTAGTCTGAATCATTTTGGCATCACATACCTAAAGTACCCTAAGGTACCCTAGGAGCTCTGCAGGAGACACAGCAGGAAGCTCACTGCCAAGCTGCCCATTCTCACAGGGTGTGTTTGTTTCTACACAAGTGCAATTTAACTCCCCAGACAGATCACAAACCATGGCCATGGCCTCCACTCAGCCACCAAACCTGGCTCAGAGGAGCTGCCAGTCCGTCAGCCTTGCCAGCAGCTTGAGTCCTGCATCAGCAAGCATTGCTCTGGGCACACCTAAGCCATCCCTAATTCAAAGCTGCGAGCTGTGTTTCCTGGCTGTGTCAGGGGACAAAGAGCTGTGTAAAAGTCAGATGGATGAATCTCAAACACCAAGACAAGGAATATCTCCCAACTGAGTCTGCTGAGTTTACTTTATCCAGCAACACTGGCTTAGTAATTTGTTTCGAGCCAGGCCCATAGCAACCCAAAGGGGCACCGCAGTTTTATTTTTTTTAAGTGTGCTCTTGGCCTCATAGCCTGTGCTGATTCCTCTCCAGGGCTATCTCCAGTACATCAAGAGCCTGCCGCTCAACGACAGCCCGGAGCTCTTTGGTTTACATGACAATGCCAACATCACCTTCACTCAAAAGGAGACCTTTGCTCTGTTGGGGGCCATTATACAGCTGCAACCCAAGACTTTCACACTGGGAGGCCATAGCAGGGAAGAGGTGGGTGCCCTGATCCCATCAGTGCTCTGGCAGCCAGAGCCCAGCACAGGCAGCGAGCACAAACACTAGGTCCCAGCAGGTGCCACCTTGCCTGCTGGGTGCCAGCAGTGGCACTGCCCTCTAGGCATTAGCTCTCGGCAACCATGGCCAGGAGGATGCTCACCCACATGCTGCCTTCCTTCCAGCTCGTGGAGGAGACCTCCAAGGACATCCTGGCAAAGCTGCCTGCCCCCATGAACCTGCAGGAGGTGATCCACAAATACCCGCTGCTCTACGAAGAGTCCATGAACACAGTGCTGGTACAGGAGGTGATCAGGTAAAACCCCTGTGGTATCACGTCCTGCACCAGCAACGGGCTGGTCCCTTGGGGAGCAGCAGAGATGTTCAGGCTGCTGCTCCCACCCACCTTTGAAGAACCTCATTGCTGAGTATAGCAGTGGGGTTGGCAGCCACACTAACAACTGTGTTGTCCCACCCAGGACCTTCAGCTGATCCCTGTCCTATGGGGACTGATCAGTGTCTCCATTTGCTACCGTGACAATTCAGGGCTGGGGGGCAGCTATGAGACCCCATTAATGAGGAATGGGGCTGGGGGTTACATGGAGGAGCTTCACTGGATAAACCACTGCAGCGGCACTCTGCTCTTTCTCTGTAGGTACAACAGGCTCCTGGAGGTGATTGCTCAGACACTGAAGGATTTGCTGAAAGCTCTCAAGGGCCTGGTCGTGATGTCCTCTCAGCTGGAGCTGATGGCCAGTAGCTTGTACAACAGCACTGTCCCTGAGGTGTGGAATGCTAAGGTATGTGCCCCAGCCAGCCCAGCTGCCCGCAGGAGCTCACCCCACCAGGGGAACAGGTCATCAACCACCACAGCTGGACTGGGCTGTCTCACATGGAACTGGCTCTTGCTCCCGTGGCATGGAGATGTCTCCTGCCTCATGCAGCTCACAGTTGTCCCCAGCCCCAGGCTGGATGAATCCCTGAGCTCTTGCCAGCTGTGAGCAACTGGGGCATAAGAGCTACGGTGTCTTTGATTGCATTCAATGGAATTGCATTCACCTTCCTCTATGGATGCACCACAGGCCTACCCGTCGCTGAAGCCCTTGGCATCCTGGGTGAACGACTTGGTGCAGCGGATTGGATTCCTGCAGAAATGGATCAGCCACGGGATCCCCTCTGTCTTCTGGATCAGCGGGTTTTTCTTCCCCCAGGCCTTCCTCACCGGGACACTGCAGAACTTTGCCAGGAAGTCTGTCATCTCCATTGACACCATCTCGTTTAGCTTCAAGGTCAGTAAGTCAGCCAGAGGCTCTGGATTTTTCTGGACTTTTTTGGAATCTGCTGCTAGAAGGCCACAAAGGCAGCAGTTCTAGCCCTGACCTGCCCAAGAGGTGAACAGCTGCCAACGGACCCCATCATCCCCTTTGTGCTCAGACACCCCCACAAGGCAAGCAGAGGCTTCTCTACCTCCCCAGACCTGTTCACATCCTCCTCCACAGGCTTTGCCACAGGCTGCCCCACAGCCTCATGATGTGAGGTGCTGGAAAACCCAGCCCAGCCCAGCCCATCTGAGAGCTGGGGCAGGCTCCCATTTGGCAGGGCTAACTTAACTAAGAGCAGCTTAACGGCATCCTTGGGGCTGAGCCTCCAGGGACACACCTTGATCAGGGCCCTGGGCCTGCTGTCCTCTGCAGGTGATGAAGGAGTCGGTGAGCGAGCTCACTCACCACCCCAACGAAGGCTGCTACATCCATGGCTTGTTTCTTGAAGGCGCCCGCTGGGACCCTGCTGCATTTCAGCTAGCGGAGTCACGCCCCAAGGAGCTTTACACAGAGATGGCCGTCATCTGGCTGCTTCCTGTCCCCAACCGCAAGCCTCCAGCCACCGGCACCTACCTGTGCCCAATCTATAAGACTCTCACTCGTGCAGGTAAGTGCCCTAAAGACAAAGCTCCAGAAGCAAGGCTGATTGGAGAAGCAGCTAGGAAGGGCAGCCCAGGAGGGGCTGCAGGAGTTCCTCCTGCCACACAGTGGCATGGAGTGAGGCACTGTTGGCGGAGACCATCCAGGAAGACAAAGATTTCTCCTTCTGTAGTCATGGGGACAGAGCAGCCAGGCACCCTGGCTATGCAGCAGTGCCTCTGGCCAGGCTCTCCTCAAGCCCGCACCTGAAAATCCACAAGCTTGTTTCCCCCAGCCCTGCTCAGCCTGTCACCTAGCATGGGGATGGGACAGGGGGTCTCACATGGGGTCACTTGTATGGGACTCCCTGGTCAGCCTGCAGCAGCAAGGGCTGCAGTACCACCCTCTTGCCCTTGCTTCCCCCGTTACAGGCACGCTGTCCACAACTGGCCACTCCACCAACTACGTGATTGCTGTGGAGATCCCTACAGACAAGCCGCAGCAGCACTGGATCAAACGGGGCACAGCCTTGATCTGTGCCCTGGACTTCTAGCTGGAAAACCCACTCAGCCCAGGAAGCATCCCAGCTGAGGGCCTCAGCCATGGCCTCTGCCATCCTGCACAGAGGTAAGCAGCAGGAGTCAAGTGCTGACTGGCAGCAGCCACTCCCCCTCTCCTCCTGCCCTCAGCTGTGTCAATAAATTGAGCTCCACTCCACCAGTATCCCATTCATCTGGTGCTGTTGCAATCCCCACAATTACAAGGTTTTGGCACCACAGAAGAGCGGCCAGCAGGGGCAGTGTGGCCCGGAGCAAGCACTCGGTGCTCCCAGCTGCACACACGCCACTCTCCCTTCCCTCACACACCTCTCCCTTGGCCAGCTGTTACAGGATAGCTTTATTCCTTCAGACAGATCCATTATTTACAGGACTTGATATCAGACACAGCAAGAGACAGAAGGATTTTCTTCCCTTCAACAAATACCAAAATAACGGTTTCATTCCATAGTCAAGATCTGTACAAATTTGCACATTTGCAAAATTCAGTCTTCTCCTGTGGCAGCTCCCCTGGGCCCAGCTACACCTCAGGACACCTCTGGGAAGAGGTGCTGACCTCTGGCTTCTGAGACTTCTGCCACGCTGCTGAGGACAGACAGGAAAACACCACGCACAGGAGCACTGGCAGCACTGGGAGGAGGCAGCAGGCGAGAGGCAG